TATCAGACTCCGATGAAGCTACAGAAATTAATGCCAAAAAATGTACATTAACAAGAAGGCGAAAACGAAATGAAAAGAACTGGAAAGTAAACATTACTAAAGAGAAGCGTTCCAAATGTGAGCCATATTATAACAAATTTAAACAATGCAATGCAAAGGGTCCCAAATTTGTTGATTGTACAAATTGCAGATATAAATGCTCATTAAATTTTAATGAAGAGGATAGGAAGACATTGTGTCAATCATATTGGTCTTTCAATGATTTTAAGAGGCAAAAAGATTTTATAATAAAAAATGTTACACCGGTTAAGCCAAAACGTTTAAAAAATAATGTTATCAACAAAACGGTTTCAAGATTGTACTTCCTTGAAAGTCCCTTAGGACGGCACAGAGTATGTGCCAAGTTTTTTGAGAGAACTCTTTGCATTTCTAATGGTCCCATAAACACGGCCTTACAAGGAACCAATTCAGCAGGTTGTTTTTTCAGTGAAGATAAAAGGGGTCGCAAAATCCCAGCAAACGCTACTAATGAAGAGTCTATCCAACTGGTAAAAAACCATATAGAGTCATTCCCTGCTGTAGAGTCACATTATACAAGGGCCACCAGTCAAAGACTGTATTTAGACTCTAAATTATCAATTAAAAAAATGTACAATCTCTATCTCGAAAGTCTAGCTGAAAATCAAAAGCCAGTCAGCCATTGGAAATACAGGCAAATTTTTGGCAATGACTATAATTACTCTTTTTTCGTTCCTAAAAAGGATCAATGTGCAGCATGCAGTAAATATAACATGGCAGATGCAACAAAAAAACAAGATTTAGAACTAGAATATTCAATGCACATAATAAGAAAGAATGAATGCCATGAAGCAAAAAATACAGACAAAAAGTTATCTCAAAATGACAAGACATTTAAAACAGCAACATTCGACCTTCAAAGTGTATTGCAACTACCTCACTCCCCAGTATCCCCATTTTACTACTCTCGAAAATTGTGTGTATACAATTTAACCATTTATGAGGGAGATGGTGAGCACGCATCTTGCTACTGCTGGAATGAAGTTAATGGAAAGCGTGGTAGCAACGAAATTGGATCTATTCTGTTAAATTATATTACAAACTTACCCTCCACAGTTCTGAAAATATCGTTGTTTTCAGACACTTGTGGAGGTCAAAATAGAAACCAACAAGTAGCTGCTGCACTTCTCTATGCAGTGCATACTACGCACTTGGAATGCATAGAACAGAAATTTTTGGAGTCAGGACATAGTCATATGGAGTGCGACTCTATGCATTCGGCGATAGAGCATTCTAAAAAAAACCGAACAGCTTTTATCATGAACGATTGGCTGGAAATATTTAGGTTAGCACGGCAGAAAAGATTACAGAAGGAGCCGTATGCAGTACGAGAACTTAAATATACCGATTTCTATGATCTAAATAATTTGGCACGAACGATAATAAAAAATAGAACGAAAGATGAAGATGGCTGCACAGTATCCTGGCTAAAAATTAAATGCTTCAAATTTGTAAAAGAACATACCGATGTGATTTTTTTTAGATATGACCATTCATCGCCGTATAAAAAATTAATTATTTCTTGTGGTCCAGGAAGAAGGAGTAATCGGGATATTTCAGAAATAAGATTAAAATCTCTCTATAACGATTTACTCCCAATTTCAACTTTGAAGAAACGAGATCTAGTCAAACTTTGCAACGACAATCTCATACCAGATGAAGTTCATCATTATTATAAAAATCTACCAACAAGTACCTCTACAAATGAAAACCTACCAGAACCGAATTTTGATGAGGAATCAGAAGATTCAACATAAATTCATCCTTAAAATAAGTTTTTTTGTTATATCTTGTTATGTTGTGTTCAATTATACAGGAATTTATTATAATTTGTAATAGTAAACGAAATATTAACATTTTTCATCACTTTCTATCTAGTTACTTTATCCCTAAGTACCAATCAGGAATATGATAGTTTGAGGTAAAATTCATTAAGTACATTTAGCTTAATAATTTTAAAATTATTGAGTTATGATCATTTCTTTTAAAACAGGATAGTAAAGTAACACCTAACCCCCATAAATAATATCACTTCTATCTATAATAATCATAAATAAAATTATAAAGTAAAAAACGAACAAAATGTTAAATATCTCTGTTGTATTTATTTTGCAGTTAGTGAGTTTTACTTCTATATAGACGATTTAGTGAGTAAGTTATTTGTTTGGATATGTGATTTGTATGCTCTGAACAGTTATATTTCGATGTTGTATATATTTGTTATTATCCTATATTCAATACAGAAATTATCATTTATTTTGCAGTCTTACTCTGTACACCTTTTACTAATTTTAGCCCCTTCCTAACTGTCCTGTTTTTGCCCATAAATCGACAGCAATGACCGATTATGGCTCAAAGCCTGCGGGCACATTCACAGGTGAGCCGTCGCCGAGTAACGAAGCCGAATTTTCACTTCACTCCAAATCAATCATTCTCAGCCAAAATAGTCATAAAACTATAAAAGAATTGTTGAGTTTGGGAATTACGAGCTGCATGATGTTTCACAAAATAATATCAACAACGATTTTATTTACTATTATTGTAATCTTAAGTAATGGAATATCACGGTTGTAGAAAATGGTTTCGTAATTAACGGAGTTTTGTCAAATAGTTTATTTTAATTAATAAAACGCAATTTTAGGACATAGTTTCTTGTTTTCATCATGAGAGGTACTAAAACCATTACAATATCAAGAGACAGTTGAGCGCTGGAAAATGTCCCAAAATGCGTTATTTTGCCTCTAAATTTCAATTTTTTTCGGGGGGGGGGGCCCGGACCCCCCCCCCCCCCGGTGTTGCACCCCCGCTAGGGCGGCAGGCAGACCTCTGGCCCATGGGCGGCAAAAGTGTTAATCCGGCACTGTATATACATCTCTGTTAGCCTAGCAATGTAAACTAAAATTATATAAAAAAGTAAGAACTAAACATCCTTTTGCAAATGGAAATTTATATACAATGGATTGATTTATTAAAATAAAAATTTAATACAACTGATAAACTAAAATACACTGTAATAATTTACAAGTTTATTTAACAATTTATTTTACAATTTTTAATATTTTCTTCTTCTTAACTTTGGATGTTTCTTTAATATATCTATTCAATTTTCTAATTTTAAAATATAATTTACACCTTTATTAACATTACATCTGAACACAGCTAAATCCATTAGCGATTTTAAATAATTCTTGGTTAATTTTAATGACCCTTTGTTAAAAATATGGTCCAGTTCATTACATTTAATTAGAAAATCTGGATATGGTTTAAGTAAACCTCCTTCGGAAAGATGGTTTACCCAGTAAACCGATGTCAGTACAAGATAAACGATAAAACAAAACTAAATCTCAAGGTTAGTAGATATTTAAATATCTACTAACCTTGACTAAATCTGACAAAACTCCATACAACACAGAACATTTCTGGTGACATTTGTCGCCAAGTGACGTCACACGACTGATCGAGTGCGCGTGGGTTTATCTGTAGTTTATAGTATCATGGGCCCAGTCGTTCATAATAGCGACGGCGCTATTAGTCACATTTTCATGGATTTTGTGCTACGTCTACATAATAGTTACATATATTTATGATGATCCTGAAGAGCAAGATAGAAGAAATGCTAGGTTTACACTTTATCATCTACAAATGGTCCTTTAAGGAAGAGTATTTTAGAAGGTATGGAACTTATAACAAAGCAGTACTACTGAATATAGAGGCATACACTGAATATACATTTGTTTATCAATAGAAAGATCTTCAACATGAGGGAAGATTAAATGAAGATTTTTGAAAAAATCCCTTCATGAAGTTGTCCATCCAATACAGGATTGCAGCCAATGGAGACAGCATGCTAACAATATTTAGAGTGTCCAAACCAACACCCTGACAAGGGCTCAACGAATGAGGAAGATATTTGTTGCTAATACTTTACAAAGAAAATTATACACATAAACAAGTCTCAGGATATCTGTGTTTTATTTTGTTTTCTCGTAACTTCGGTTGGTTAATGTAATGAAAAACAGATATAGTCTTAAAATATTAAATTAAAACTTTCTTGTACAATAATATAATATACTCTGTCTGGTATTGTTATACATTTGTATATAAAAATGCGTAAAAGTGTATACTATATTTTTGGGCAGAGAGAATATATTTTTTGGCATAGAATAAGTTTTTATTTCTTAATTTTATGACTATATTTATTTTCCAGTAAAAGCATCCTTTTTGAATTTTGTCTGCTAAAATTCGGAGCATATTTTTGAATTTTGGCGCCTAAAATTTGCCGCTAAATGATCGCCTAAAATTTGAGATATGCTGATACTTACTGTTATGTTCTTTTTCGCTCTATTTGCTGTCTTTTATCTACTGTAAAAGATATTATTTTCTGCTACTCAGTAAAATCTCATTATTAAACTGGCTAACATATGTCTATTTTTAAGTTCAAATATATGGACTTTTCCTTTGTAATTTTGAAAATTACGTCGACAACACAGAAACCGCTGTAAAGTATCATATTTCTGTGACCATTTAGTTGAATTATTATCGCCATTCAAAAGTGCCATACAATAGAGGCGATTTATGGGCGTGCACTTGGCTCTCTTACCCTACGGACCACCTAGCAGTATGGCCAGAGAGTTTCTGACTGTATGGCCACTTCCTATGGCTACGTTTAATATACCAATATTTCAAAGGTAAGTTCTATTCTTTGTAATGACAGCAATGAGTAAAAGCCAGCTAATTTTCGTAATTTATTCACAATTATTATTTGCTATTTTCGCTAATTTATTCATAATAAGAATATTGTATTTTTTCTTTCATTATTATTCTAATTTCATTTAACCAGCTACCTCTAGTTTTACACAAAACAGGCGTGTTTCGATGAATTTCATGTACGTTGGATTGTTTGATGAAAAAATAATGAACATAAGGGTGTGAAAACTTTATTTTTATACACATATAACACACAATATACTTATACCATATAATGAAAGCCATTACAGTGTAAGATATTTGTGAAACTCTGCTAAGATCTACAAACTATTAAATAGTATCTACATTTTTGGTTTATCGAGAAAACGATGACACTGAATTACATATGGTAACAATAAAAAAATAAGAATACCAAGAACGAGTTATATTAGTAGAAATAAAATAGCACGGTTCGGAAGTATTTTGAAAACAAAGTAAATAAAAAGACGAATATTCAATTAAAAAGAAAAATATAAACTATCGATATTTCTTGAACACGTTAAGAAGCAAATTATGGCGATAAGAAAAACATATTTTACTTACTCGTCACCAGATAGGTAGCACTAAAATGTATTAAAGCCAGCAGTAAAAGCTCTGTGATGGTAATAAAGAAAACCACAACGGAATACTCGTGAAATACTTGTGCATTGTGAATAACACATTATAACTGATAAATCCTGAAACTGAACATTATTACATTAAAACTTAATATCAAAATTTACCAAAAAAAAAAAAAAAATTCTACTAATACAAATCGTTTTCTAGAAAAATAATCGAATTAGTTTTCAACGTTCAATTCTCTTCTTCGTCGTTATCATCGCCTGGTATTACAATCGCGCCTTCTTCTTCTATCAACTGTGCTTCGACGGTTTCATCTTCAATTACGGCTGATCCTTCGTCCGTGTGCACAGCGCCACTTTTGATAGCTGCGTGTTCGATATACCGGACGAATTCGGCATGTTCGTTTGTATTTTCATCATCGGAATCGTTTAATAATACGTGTACGCCGTTTTTGTCTACGGTCGCCAAAATGTCTTCCAGCATTATATGCTCCAAACTGATCGGTGATTCCCAGAAAACGCATTTGCTCATGACGTGGTTTGAGAATCTGGCAACCTAAAAATTCGAAAAAGATATTAAAATTACACCAAGTTTTGGTGTAATTGATAAGATAATAAGAAATTGAATTTAATATCCACTTATAAGTATAAAATAGTATCATATCAAATTTAAAGATCCGGATCTTTGCATTGACCTGAAAGAACGGGTTCTAGAAATTATTACGACCTGGTATTTTAAGATCCAGATCGAACATGATCGACGCAAGTCTCTTACCTTCCTTAGAAGAATAATAATTTTAAAATATCTATTTTTATGTGGGATGAATATTCTCATAGGACAACTCATACCTTCCAACTCAGATTCAAGGTACTTAATATGCAGCATGAAACTTATCAGATAGTTGTGGGGCTCTATTACAGATAGTCTTAGGTGTTCAGTCTATAAAAATAGGGATCTTTTTAAAAACCCAGATCCTTTACTGATTCAACTTACGTCTATAAACTTTATTGTCAACGAATAGATGTTACCGACCGTGCTATATCTCACAGGAAATTTCGCTTAGGTAAATAGTTTATTAAACCATAATAAAATATTAACAGGGTAATAAAAGTGTCATAAAAATAATTTTTTTCTTTATGAGAGGTCTCCGTGTCGAAGGTAACCAGATGCCGTCATCTCTTGTATTGAGACAATTAGGTATCTTTTCAAATTCTTGGTTTATAGAAGCGGATAAGGGTTATGGTTCTAGAGTTTTCAAAATCAATTTTGTGACCTGTATGAGGATGATGTTGACCTAGAGGTGAAATTAAATCGGAATTTCGAACAGTAATTGAATGTTCGTAAATCTTATTTTGGATTCTATTATTTGTTTGGCCTATATAAGATCGGGGGTAGTCTGTACAAGGAATATTATAAACTCTGTTGTTCACGTGGAATGTTCTTTGATTGATCGAACAAAAGATAAGATTTTGTCTCTGGCACCTTTGATGTAAGAAAGAAAACTTATCATATGATGAGGGTCTTTGGGTTGAGATGGAGTAGGAGATTGATTCCTGTAGATGCTCCTATTTATGTGATTTTCGTGGTAACAGTTTTGGATGAAGGTTGTTTTAAACTAGAGAGCTCAGCGGGTCTACTTGCAACATCGCAAATGAATCAACTGGATTAATTTGTGAAGGTGGATAATGAGAGTTGACATGAAAGTAATGAATGGTATGGGTGGGTTTTTGATAAACAAAGTAATGAAAACCTCGGTATTGGTTTTTCTTTATGATAGCTTCGAGAAACGGTAGGAAGAATCAGTTTCCACCTTTATATACATCCTAGTGTCCAGTGAACTATACCATTCAAATGGGTCTGAATAGACACCAAAGCATCCCTGACGTGGGTTTGAGCATTGATGTGGATACTGCTCGGGTCTCGAAATCTTCCATAAAGTCTTGCTGGATACTGTATTTAGTTTTCAGAATGTTTAGAGTTTCGTCAATAGGAATGTTTGAAAATTCAAACATTCTTAAGAGATTGTAGAATTTTGGCCAAGTACTTAGTCAATGGTTGTTACTAAAAATAAAAGATCTACCTGTTCGTAATATACAAACAAAAAAACAATGTAATTACCTTGTCTGTTGCGTATGCACACTTGAGACACTTGTACAGTCCCGACAGCTGTCTGTCGCTGTGTATCAGCATATGCTTGTGCAAATCATTCTTTCTCTTCGAAAAATACTCGCATTCAGTGCATTTATAGGTATACATCTGGCTTTTGTCGGCGTGGTTCATCTCGTGCTTGGGCAGATCTCCTTTTCTTTTGGTCACGTACGGGCAGCTGCTGCATTTATACAGTGGTACGCTATCTGTAGGTCGATGACAGAGAATATGTTTTGTTAAATCTGATTTTCGTTTGGTTGCGTATGGACATTCAAAGCATTTGTACAGTTGGGCTGTAAGAAGAAACTTGTGTTTGGTTTTTATTTGTTCATGAAGTGCGCGCCAAACTGTGTAATCAATCCGCGAATATACAAATTGTACAGTGAGTGATCACACAAAATAGGTACCTATTAAAATTTTTTTAAAATGGTTGATAATTGAGGTACAAACTGTATTTATATGTCATGGGGTGTGTTCGAGTTTGGTATTGGCTAGGTAGATTGAGTAGCTCAGTAACTATCAGTGCCGGTCCCAAGCACAGATAAAGGAGGAGGGTAGAGGATAATGGAAAAGCAGTATTTTAGCATCTGTTAACAAAAATAAACTACAGAACAATAAAACTGACTGACACAAGATAAGTAATATAGAGAAAATTTCTCGCTAGAAATATCTATCGAGCAAACCGAAATATTTGATAAGCAGTTTAGCTTTATGTAAGGCATATCAACAATATTTGTCATTTTTGATTGCAGAACATTTAATGAAAAATTCAGGAATAAAAACAAATCTTCCTCTGGTCATCTTGAGAAAGATCATCTAAATCTTAATAAGGCCCATCAACTTAAGACATGTAAAAATTAACTCCAGGAATTCTTTAAAGATCATGAACTTCGATAGGGATGATGGTCCTGAACTTATATAGAAATTATCATACTATATCCCTGATAGAACGTACCCTGAAACCATTCCAAAAAGTGATGCATGCTAGAACAAGGTGTCAGCTGGACTCAATTTGAAATAAAAAATGCCTAAATATAAATCAAAACATGCATTTATGTTTTATTGACTAAAATGAATCCTCTGATAGAATTCGCCATGACTTTACAAGAACTCTTACCTCTACTGATGAAATATTAATATTATTTCAAATTTCTACTTCTTTGCCAAGCTTCAGAATGAAGGCAGCATTTAAAGAAGTCATTTTGTACATAAATTGTCTTATTTACTTTTCAGATCACCCACGTACAAATTACTATTTAATAAACACTAAAACATCCCTTAAAAATGTATTCAGATTAAAAACAAAAAATTAAAACAAAAGAGAAATAAAAACATACAAATACTTGTAATGTCCAATTTAGTGTCTTCTTATTATCAACATATTAATAGACCTTGATTATAAAATTAAATCACTTTCTGAAAAGAATAATCATTCAAAGGTAATCAATAAATAAACATAATAGGCATTTAATTGCATTGTAAAATGATGTGCTCCATGAATGTGTGTTATTTAAGATTTTAAACTGGCTAAAAATTTGCAATTTTTTGATAAGTTACAATTGGAATTGTGTATAAATAAGATCCTAAAAATTGGTAAAGTTGGTAGTATATGATCAAGTTCTGGATCACTTTGATAAAAATGAAATCTTAATGAATAATAAGTCAGGTTTTTGAAACTATTGATCGTAATATACTTCTCGTTAAATTAGAAGACTATGGTATTGGAGGAAATGTTCTTCAATGGTTTAAAGATTACTTATTAAATAAAAAGCAACTAGTGAGGATTGATGATAATACTATTTCTGAAAATAGTGTAATATAAGGGTTTCTCACAGTATGTCTTATGACCCCTTTTGTTCATATTGTATTTAAAGGAATAAACTTGTTTGTTAAATGTGATTTCTGTAATTAAGATCTTTCAAAACTAATTTTATTATAATTGATTGCTCCATCTTTTACTTGAAATCGTTAAAATTGTAGTAGAAATGAAGTTTACTTGATCAAAAAAAAAAAATGGAATTTCAAAAAAGAAGCACTTTTTGATTTCTTTTACTGTTTATTATAATTTACAAAAATGTTGTTGCAGAAGTTTGAAAGAAAATTTATAATTTTACAACAAACACATAGTTATTTGAATTTAAGGTCTATTAACAGTCATTTGATAATAAAAAATAATATTAAATATAAGAGAAGTAAAAAAAGCTGTATGAATTGTTAAATAAATAATCAAACTGAAAATAAAAGTTGTAGAAAATGATTACATGGAAGAAAATGGTGTCATATTGATTAAAAAACGAATAATTCTGGAGAATTTTTCAAAGTGATAGTCTGATTTTAAATTATCCTGTAGTATTTTTTTACCAAATGCTTTGCTTGTATTTATTTGATATAATATTTTTCATTTTTTTTAATAGTTATTCAGGAAAAAAAATTTTTTCTGGCCAATTTCAAACAGACTGTTAAAATATTTTTCATCCATATATTTATTCTACTTTCCACAAATTGTAAACAGTGGATAATAAGATAAATCTCTTGATTATTATATTTGTAGAATTTGCTAAAAATGTGTCTCCAAATTTTTCTTCCAGTGGTCATATCAATATTTATTAGTGTAATATCTTTTCTAACTAATCCCATGGATTTCAACTAATATTCTTTCTAAGCACTATATGTATCAAGTATTGTCGTCAGACTTTCACATGTTGTATATCTGTTTCAAAATATTAATTTAAACAGTTGTCAGTAGACCAGATTTTAAACCATTTCTATAGTTTGTTATTAAATCCTTTATTAAATCAGTCATTCATGACCTTTTAAGAGGCTTTAAATTTTGTAGTCAAAATGCTAATAATGAGCTTATTTAACACTTTGTGACATTAAAACAAAATTTTAAACTGAAATTTGAATCATTTTTACAAAGGTGTTCAAAAATAAAGCAAAATAAATAATTTTACCATTGCTGCAATGTCCCAACATATGTTTAGGCATGTCATTCTTTCTTTTTGTCTGATATGGGCATTGTGAACACTTGTAGTAAACTGGTGGTACCAAATCTGAATGGTTTAACATATGTGTCGCCAGTACACTCTTTTTTGTGGTATTGAAGTCACATAAGTCACAATGCATAGGTTCACTGGGATGCCTTTTCCCTCTTTTTGAACCCCTTCCAGTTGTTCCACCATCTTCCTCAAATTCCTGGAATATTTAGTTAGATTTGAGAAATCACAAACATATTATATTAAACAATATACATAAGAAATAGCAGATAATGAAAGCTATAGCGACATGGAAGCACATAATTTACCAATAAGACACATTAATTATTTCCTTACAGTATCTATCATTGGGATTTCATTCTAAAAATGTTTACAAAACAACTCATCTGAAATAGTGTCTAGAATTCCCTTTAAATATTCAAATTTAAATGTTGATGAAAGTTGAAAACATCAAATTTTTTTCAAATGTTTGTATCACTTACAAAATGTCAACAGAACAATTTCATAACTATAAAAAAAAGAGTTTGTATTGCATATTTTATTTATAATCAATTTTTTTGGTATATTTCCTATGGATTGTGAGAATTTCTTCAAGATCAGGTGATTGTTGAAGATATGAAACATCATATTATGAGGTATGAGTTGATTAAGAACTGCTATAAAAGGAAAATACAATCATAGATTTTTTTTAATATATTCGATTAATATACTAAATCAGATGAACAGTTTTTTATTAATTGAAACATCTGAATATCCTACTTAAATAAATAAATATACTTACATCTGCATCACACAGCTTGAACTTAGGGTCATGGTTTTTAACTATGATCTTTGCTCTAGGTATATTTTTTGGAAGATTCTTAGGTAGAGTCGCTCTTTTTCTTTTTCTAGTATTCTTAGCGGGGTGGTCATCATCTTGAACAATCTCGAATTTGTCTTCTGGGGGAACAATCTCATCTTTAAGGTCGTGGTTAGCGAGAATATGATCATCAAGCTCATCGATGTTTTCAGTTTCAAAATCACAATCAAGACACCTTAACACGTTTTTTTCGCTATTAAATTCTTCATTTTCTTGAGAAATTAAAGTTTCTATGCTGGTTTTCATTTCTTCTTAAGAGATTTCTTATGTTTATGACTCTTTAGGTTATTTAGCAATGGGGATTCGGGATTCTTCAATTCTTTTTTGTTGAGTTGATGGTGACGCGCACAGGCAGAAGAAAAAGAAGTGACAGATGACACATCGATAACGCAAGATTAAAAAATTTCATTTCATTTCATTTCATTTCATAGAATAGTGTAGAATATCTTTGGAATTCAGTCCATTTTTACTTTAAAATCTTTAACCAGCTACAGGATATACAATAAATGTTAAAATTACTAAAAGCATTTACATAATTGCAAATATCTGAAATCATTTTCATTGAAAGTATTGATTTTCAATATGTAATTACAGTTGCATATGTAGTAGGAAAAACTAATGACGTATAATATAGTATACGTCATTGGGAAAACAGGTTCTAGTATTTTTTACAAATTTTTCTTTTACAAAAAATTTAGATTATATAAAAATTTATTTGACACTTAAATCTACACCAATAAGATTACAAGCATGCGGAGCATAAACTATTACTGAAACTGAAAAATTTAAAATAACTACAAGACAACAACACAAGTTTAAAGAAAACTAGAATGGCATATTCTAGTTTTCCTGGCAAACCTGAATTCCTTTTAGAATTGCCCATAAACTCAAGTGAAAATATCGCAAATATTCAATTTGGTATTCGCAGAAAATTATTTAACAAAACTATAATAGTAATCAGCAAGTTTTTTAAATCATACTAAAAAATCATAAACTTTAAGGAATTATATACTTTATATAATTATGTGATTTAATTAATTTCTGTCAATTTGTTTTTGTAGAATAAAATAGTCCACCTTAAACTTCATAGACGTAATAATGTAATGTAGATGTAAAATGTTTCTATAATGTTTTTCTATAATGTTTCTATTTATACTACCCAGTACAGATTCCCCTTAGAAACCAAAAAGCCCAAGGATATCCTTAATGACGTTTTATTATAGGTCATTGGATATCCCCAATATCTATGACAAAGCAAGGATTGTGAGAAGAAAAAGAAATAACCAACTGTCAATGAACATGTGTCATGTGTCAGTTCTGTAAATAAATGAACATAACCAATTTTGTTGAATTCATTTGAAATTACATTTATAATTTACTAAAAAAATATCAACAGTCTGTCAACAATGTCTGTAATTACTAGTGGTTTTAAAGGTAGGTTTAATTTATGGTTTTTCGATTAGTTAAATAATTTTATGACATTTTCAGTGTTACCATTGGTATTTTCTACATACAGCACAAGCAGTCATGATGTATTCATAAAAGAACACTCCGTTAGAGCTATTAGCGAAGACAAACCTCCTGGTCAGACTCTCTTTATGTTAAATGTACCTCCCACAGCAACAGAAGAAGGTTTAAAGAATGCATTTTCCAGTGTGGGTAATATAAAACGAATCATTTTTGAAAGCAACACAGAAGAAGAAGGCGATGGTTTTAAAAGAGCGTATATAGTTTTTAATAAAAGGGAGCAATTAATTAGAGCTCTTAAATTGCAGACATTAAATCCTATGTCAACTGAAAATGAACCAGTGGAGATTGGACTTGGTTTATGGATTGAAAATTATAATAAGACTATCTGTGACCCAGATGTTTTAAGGGAAGAAGTGTCTGCATTTATGGCTGATTTTGATAGTCAAGATAAGAAAGATAAAAAGGAAGAAAATGTGGATGATGAAGGTTGGACAGTGGTTACGAAAGGTGGTAGAAAACCAGGATTGTCCAGAAAAGAAAGTTTAGCGAACAAATTAAATGAAAAGGTATCTTTCTATTTAATATTTACTACATTTCCAAGAGTTTATATATTTTTATTGTAGGTACAAAAGGGTGCCAAGAAAAAGGAGCTAAAAAATTTCTATACTTTCCAAATAAGGGAATCAAAGAAAGAGAAGATTGCTCTCTTAAGGAAGAGTTATAAAGAGGCCAAGGAAAAAGTTCGAATCATGAAACAAGAGAGAAAGTTTAAGCCTTATTAAAATTATATTACACTGACTATGTATTTTAGTTAAATTTATATTTGTAATAAAAAAGATGTTTAATATAATATGGATGTAAAAGTTTATTTTAGCATTCTAATACATAGAAAATTTTAAATAGTTGGCAGTAGTAGTTACCAAATTAAGGGGGTGTATGAAAAGATCAATTGACAGCAAAGAATGGCTTAGAAGAGATGTTATAGAGAATCACTTATACAAAAATTTGTACAAAAAAACTTATAAAACTTAAGGCTGCTCAATAATAAGCATTAGTGGAAGGCCTAAATTAAAGGACACTTATGAAGAGATCACTCTGCTCAAACTTTGGATATATACAGAAATAACTGGTGTATTGGAGTGATTTCTGGAGAGCCAGAAATAAATGGTGTATGGAAATTAAATGTCTAGTACAAAAAAAATTGTATTAAAATACACAAATGTGACTTTAAAGTTTTATTTAATTCAGTTTGCTTCGGTGGTATAATTCGACTGACTATATCTACATAATCCTAATATTAATATTACGATACATTCCCAGACGAAAAAGTCATAAAATGTAATTGCCTTCACCAGCCCTCGGCTAGAGAGGCGGTGCGCTGATTGGAGAATTTTTTAAATGAACATATTAAATAGTTACTCGACATTCTCCCACCTTGAGAAATTTGACATAATTTCTTAAAAAATACAGTCACGAAAAATTGCGAAAATATCACTTGAATCTTAAAGGAGTTTTCACCAACCGGTCACAACGCGTATATCTTTCATTTAAGTCGCTTGCTTGGTTCGTTTTCATTTGGTTCTTCCTCAAACTGGAGTCGACCAACATTCTCTTGGGGTAACCTCTCTGGAACCGTCTGACTTCCACAGGGTAGAGTACTTTGGACATTCTTGCCAGTAGTAACTGCCTCGACGACTTCCACCAGGTAAAGCCTTTGTAATGGCCTCAGAAGTTGCCCCTGTGCAGTCGCAAGACGAACTAACCTTACCTGGTCATCCATACCAGGTATAAGTTTAATAACTTTTCCTAAAGGCCACTGAAGATGCTTGATGTTGTCATTGCCGACTAAAACGACATCCCCGATAGACACCTTCGGCTTCTTCGTTCCTGCTTTGAGTTGAATCAGATATTCACCACGAAATCTTTTTCGGAAATGATTTCTCAAGTCTTTTAAACGCCGTATTTTGCGTGAGAGAGAATTCTGCTCTAGCAAATCACAATCCAGCAACTCGTAACTGACTTATTCCTTTAAAAACATACTTGGGGTGAATTCGGTAGGATCGTCGGAAAGATACCTACTTTAACGGACGCGAGTTGACTACTCTCACAATCACACAATAATGTCATTATGTCTTCATAATTGAGAGAAGGTCGACCTAAAACTTTTCGCAAAAGTCCTTTCACAATACCTACTAATCTCTCCTAAAATTCACTCCGCCATGCAGCTGTAGGGGGGTTGAAACGTCACTTAATACGTTGTGTAGAACTATATTCGGCGATAGTATTCCAGTCCAATTGCTTAAACGTATTCTCGAATCCAGTAAAATTTGTTCCATTTCATACCTAATGTTCCATATCTAAACTATTCTCGGTCGTTGTGAATGTTGTGAATGTTGTCTGCGGCAACTAAAAAAAGAAGAATGATGACATGCATGTCAATGTCATGTTCATGTTCATAACCATGTAACCACATGTAACTTTATGAATAAAGTTATCTTAATTATTATACCAATGTCTTTTAATTAAAATACATAACATTATTTGGCGACGAGTCAACGTATCCACGTGTAAGTCAGTCAGTCCACACGTTCAAGTGTGAAATCAAAAGTTTTTGGAATTAAGTGCTGATGTCACCAGGTGTCCACCTAACCTAAAATAGCCAACATATTGGGATTTTTCACAAGTCTTAAGTGAATAAAATCATGGCAAATAATCTAATTGGTAATATAGAACATTTTGACCCAAAAGTGGGAGATATAGTAAGTTACATGGAGAGAATGGAACAACTGTTTGTGTGTAATGTGGTAGAAGAACAAATGAAGGTGTCTATGTTATTAACACTGATCGGTGGAGAGGCATATTCAACTCTTAAAGACATTTTAACTCCAGATTTACCCAGTGCTAAGAGTTATGATGTGTTAAAAACAAAATTAGTTGAACATTTTAGTCCAAAAAGGTTACAAATTGCAGAAAGGTATAAGTTTTGGAATGCAATTCAAGACCAAGGAGATGACATTAAAGCTTATGTGAAAAAGCTCAAAAGTTTGTCAGTACACTGTAAGTTTGGTGCATTTTTGCAAGAAGCTTGGAGAGACAAGTTTGTATGTGGTATTAGGTCACAAGCCATTAAAAGAAAGTTATTATCAATGGATAATTTAACATTTGATGTTGCAGTACATGAAGCCTTGTCTATAGAACTGGCTGAAGGTCAAGTAAAATCTATGAATATGGAAAGTGCAGTCAGTACGATGGCAGAAAGTCTTGATAAAATTACGTTTAAGAATCAAAAAAAGTCAAATAGTGCTACTGTGTTTAAGAAAGACAGTCAAAAAGTGAAGCCATGTTATAGATGTGGAGTCCGAAAGCATGACCCAGAAAAGTGTCCAGCAAAGGCGTGGGAATGCTTTAAATGCAAAATAAAAGGTCATACAAGTCGTGCATGCAGAAGTGAGAAAGTCAACAAACTGGATGAATCAGAGGAGACATCTACAAGTGATGATGACCTAGTTCTAGGGTTTTTGGCAACTATAAACCAAAGCCAAGATGAAAATCCAGCTCAGGTAACATTGAACATAGAAGGTAAGAAGATTAAATTTGACATAGACAGTGGAGCTTGTAGAACTGTCATGCACATCACAGACTCTGAAAAATACCTACCAGAATTGAAGTTGTACAGTGTTAAGTATAGGTTAAAAGTATTAACAGGAGAAGGTGTTAAGATTCTGGGGGAGACTGATGTGTTTGTACAAGTCAAGGACAAAATAGTAAGTTTACCATTAGTAATTTTGGATAGCAGTCATAAATTTATACCATTGCTTGGTCGAAATTGGCTAAATGTACTAAGCCCAGACTGGAAACATAAGTTGTCTTTTGACTGTCTAAACATGTTAGATTCAACTAATAAGTTCATGGATGGACAGGATATTTCAACTGAGTGTTGTCAGTCTGGGTCACAGTTGAATGAATCTTTGTATGAACCATGTCAGTCAAGTAGTTCTAGTAAGCAGTTGCCATTTGAAGTTAATATGTTTCAGTCAGATAGTCAGGTAAATGTTAAAAATCAGTCTAGTAAGCACCCAGTGTCAAATATATGTCAAAAGCTGCCGGGTGAGTCAGGCAGAATATCAGAGGTAAGCTCAAAAATTGAGAAGTTGGTATTGTCTTTAAAAAAAGATTTTCAAAATGTTTTTAATGATGAGTCACAGTCCTGTATTAAAAACTTTAAAGTTGAATTGAATCTGAAGGAGGGAGCAAAACCTGTGTTTCATAGAGCTTATGATATGCCATTTGCATTGAAAAGCAAAGTAGAGTCAGAATTAAAAACAATGTGTGATTTGGGTATATTAAAAAAAATTAATTTTAGTAATTGGGCAAGTCCAATAGTAGTTGTGCCAAAAAAAGACAGTTCTCATATTAGAATTTGTGTTGATTTCAAAAAAACTGTGAATCCAGCTCTTGATACAGATCATTGTGTTTTGCCACTTCCTGAAGATATATATGCTTGCTTAAGTGGAAATCGATATTTCTCAGTCATTGATTTGAAAGGGGCATACCAACAGCTTGAAGTAGGTGACAAGTCCAAAGAACTGTTAGTTATTAATACACACTTGGGACTTTTTGCCTATAATAGGTTAACTTTTGGTATTAGTTCAGCCCCTGGAATTTTCCAAACTGTTATGGATAATATTCTGGTGGGGTTGGAAAATACAAAATGTTACTTGGATGATATTTTATGTTATGGAAAATCATTAGAGGAATGTTATCAAAATGTGATTGAAGTCCTTAAAAGACTTGAGCAATATAATGTCAAAGTCAATCATAAAAAATGTAAATTCTTTAAAGATAGAGTCGAATTCTTAGGTCATTATATTGATTCGTCAGGTATCCATCCTACTGAGGAAAAAATTCAAGCAATAAAGTCTGCTCCGTCCCCAACAAACCTTACTGAATTGAAATCTTATCTTGGGTTATTAAATTATTACATCAAGTTTATTCCAATGTTGTCATCAAAATTAAAGCCATTGTATAATATTTGCAAACCTGATGTAGATTTTTCTAAAGAATGGACTGATGAATGTGAAGACATCTTTAGACTCAGTAAGGACTTGTTGACCTCAGATAGTCTGTTGACACACTATGACCCAACTTTACCTATTTATGTGACATGTGATTCTAGTGGCTATGGTGTGGGAGCTGTATTGAGTCATATTATTGATGGTATTGAAAAACCTGTACTATTTGCCTCTAGCACCCTCTCTCCAACTGAACAAAAATATAGTAATTTAGAACGGGAGGCTTTAGCTTTAATATTTGCAGTCAAAAAGTTTCATAAATATCTCTATGGGCGTAAATTTACCCTTATTTCAGATCATCAACCACTTCAATTTATTTTTGCAAAACATAAAAATATCCCAACAACTGCTGCTGCTAGAATTACTCGATGGGCATTAGCTTTGTCAGGTTACAGATATGATATTATTTACAAAAAAGGAAACTCTATTGCCAATGCAGACGGGTTGTCACGGTTACCTTTAAAACAACAAACTGAAGTAGATGACTATATTTTTTCGTTTAGCTTAATTAAGGAAATACCATTGAATGCAGATGATATTAAAAAAGCTACTAATAAAGATTCATTACTTCTGAAAGTCAAGGACCTTATTTTGTCAGGTTGGCCTATTAGTGTTGAGGATGATAACTTAAAAACTTTTTTTAAACGCCGGAATGAATTATCAGTTGAACAGAATTGTATTATGTTAGGGAATAGGGTTGTAATTCCTCAGTCGTTAAGACTTGAAATTTTAAAAGTTTTTCATGAGCAACATTCTGGTATTGTACGAACCAAATTAC